ATAAATCACTTTAATTAATTTATTAATAATATTATTTGGACCATATTAATTGGTTTTACACCCCATCCTACAATAAAGAGATTAAGCCCAGAAGAGCTACAAGATAGGAGGTCACGCGGTTTGAGCTTCAATTGGGATTAAAATTCTCTCTGGGGTATCGTTGCAAGAAGTCATTTTTGATAGAAGGGATCTTTCCTTCCCTTGATGGGCCATTGGAAGAGACAACCTTGGATGAAGAAGCGGGGGAAGATATTCCTGAAATTAGTGTTCATACTATTCCTGGAAATGCAGCTCCACGGACCATGCGGTTTCTCGGCAAACATGGAGATTTGGTGGTCACAATTTTGGTAGATTCCGGAAGGCGAGTTTTCTGTGCAAGTGGCTGATGGTAGTAAAATGAAAAGTGAAGGGCTGCGTGAAAATCTTCATATTTCGATGCAAAGGGTGCAATTCCACATGGATTTTTTCCTTCTACTTGTGGAGGGATGTGATGCTGTTTTTTTCCTTCTATATGAGAATCCAAAGAAATCATTTGAATTACGAGGAGCACAATGACCTAGTAATAAAGTCCTAATAAATTGTGATTTGGAAACATAATTACGAAAAGGAAAACGTGCCTTCTTGTTACAACTTCGTTCCTTAAGTCTGGGACTCAGTTGAAGGTAAGATTATGTTGGAGCACTCAATTATAATTGTCAAAAGAAATTGTGGACTCAATTAGGGTAGTAAGTTCAAGACTTAATTCATCGTATGACTAAGTTTGAGGACTATACTGAGGGTATAAGTAAGTTTAAGGTCTCAATTGAAGGTAAGATTATGTTGGAGCACTCAATTAAAGGTGTCAACAAGTTGGAGAACTGAATGGAAGGTCTTGCTAAGTGGGAGGACTGAATTGATTGTACCATTAAATGGAGGACTCAATTGAAGTTAAAATTAAACTAGAGGTCTTAATTGATATTAGTAACAAGTTTGAGAACTCAACTCAAGGTCAAGGAAAGATAGAGGACTGAATTGAATATTGTAGAAAGTTTGAGGATTCCATTGATGGTTGGCAAGACTTGAAGTATTAATTGAAGGTTAGAGTAAACTAAATGGCTGAAAAGTAGATAAGAGTAAGTAGGAGGACTGAATTGATGTTAGAATAAGTAGGACTTAAATGATGTTTGTAGTAAGTTGAAGGACTCAACACAAGGTCAAGAGAAGTTGGAGAGTTGAATTGAATATCATAAAAAGTTTGATGTAATGCCCCGATTCGCATGGATCAAAACGTTACAAAATTACCTTTACTTTACCCGTAGGCTATAGAGTTAATTAAATAATTAACTATACAACAACATATCGTATATGCAAAATACCGGATATGCAACTTACAACAACAACAACATACCGTATATGCAACATACCGGATATGCAACTTACAACAACATAACATATATGCAACTTACCGTATATACGATCAACATACTGCATATGCAACATATCG